TAAAATCATTCTCCATTTTAAACTAATATTACCATTATAACCATCATTTTACAATTTCTCTTAATGTATTTTCTAACGTCTTCGATGAAACCTATAAACTAATATAGGATTTCCACCTGGTTGGGAAAAAAGTAAATATTTTTTTAAATATAAAATCATTCTCCATTTTAAACTAATATTACCATTTTACAATTTCCCTTAATGTATTTTCTAACATCTTCGATGAAACCTATAAACTAATGTAGGATTTCCACCTGATTGGAAAAGTAACTGTTAACTAGTTTTTACATCAATAATTCATCCTTAGATATTTTCTTAAAATTAATCTAAATTTTGAAAATTCCATAAATCATTAGGAAAAGGGTATCGAGTCTAATATGTTAGATTTATAATATATTTACAATATTTTTAATAATGTTGTATACCAACTTTATTTAAAACTTAGTTGATCTTCGTAAATATAATTTTGTTTATTATTTTTTAAAATAACTTTCCATGATTAAATAATATTATCTAATTACATGTTTTTCTAACTATTAGATAGTAAGTATAAACTAATTTATAAATTGAAAACTTTATAATAATTTATTATTAAATAATGGTTTTATTAAATCACACCACTGGTATTAATACCAGTTCCTTAGCTTGGATAGTCTATTTTTGGACGGAAGCATTAGCAATCTGGCTTATGATAAAAGTATGTTGAGATAACTTACCAATTTACAAATATAAATCATTAATGCTGGCCAAAATTACCGGGATCAGTAATTGTACCAAATCCAGTCACAAATTGATAAAATATAAATTCATAAACATTGTGCAGAATTAGGGCTTAATTTGGGCAAAATTTAAATAAATTTGAGCAGAATTAAAGATTTAAGGTTTAATTTGGTAGGAATTCGAATATAAATTAGAGTAAAATTTTGGCAGAATTAATGTTTAATTTGGGTAGAATTTGAATATAAATTTGGGTAAAATTAGAGTATAAATTTGGGCAGAATTAGAACCTCTTGGGTTCCAGACGTGATTAAAAATTTAAAATTTCGTTTAAACATTTAAAAAAAAATATTCTCTGATTTTCATATAGACCGTAGTACCCATGGAATAAGTTTATATAAAATTTTTTACTAGATAGATTGTAAATAAAATTGTAATTTTCTAAAAAATTTACTAAAACTAGAAACAGCTGATCGATAAAACCAAAAAAAAAGTTAGACAAATACTATAAAAGCATTATAATCCTATTCTCTGGATAAACAAGTTGCTTTTTTACATTTTAGGAGTGAGGCAGGGGTTGGTCGAATAACTTTCTTAAGATATTCAATTGACTGAATAGATCCCTCTTGAGAAGAATTCCTTTCTATTTCTTGTATTATTTTTAAAATTACTTCATAATTTTCTTTCATGATTTCCTAAAATGAACAAATTGTGTAAATATTTTAAATATTTTGAAGTATAAAAATTGTGCATTATTACAAACCTTTACAATTAAATAGATCTCGATTATTGATCCTACATCATTGTTTTCAAAAGAGGTAGGAATAATCCCTTCACGTGCCAACCAAGGGAATCGAAGCTTTTCTAAATTAAAACGTAATAATATAAGCTGTATCTGTCCATCTAAAAATAACAAATATTTAATATAGAAATTTAATATTGGATCACATAAGATTAGTTCACATAAGTCTAAAAACATCATACCAAAAACAAATAATCCAACTCATCTTATTTTAATAAAAAGAAGGTTTAATTTAGAAGTAATAATTTTAGTAGTTTTTGAAAAAAATATAATAAAATCATTGATGGCATCATTTAAAGCTCGAATAAGCTTATTATAGACTCCGTAATTTGATGCATTCGGTAATTTTACTTCACACATCAAGAGATATAATGAGTGTTCTTTGTACGTATAAATGATCGCAGTATCAACCTTTCGAGGATAAACACGTACATCATCATAGTAGAATTCAGAATTTCCAATTGGCTGAAGATAATTTGTTTTATTCTCTTTATTTATAAATTCATCAGAAATAATATTTCCTTCTGTAACCTCAATATCATTAAAATATTCATGGGCTTTATTTGAAGATAATCCAAATGGTGACTGATGATGCCACCTTTTTCGTTCGACAATACACTTTGCAGGATGTTCAGGACTAATTGTATATTAAATTCATTTAAATAATTTTAAAAAATAAATTCCAGGTAAATTATCTTATCCATGAAGATAAAAGTGTTGCAATAGGCTATCTAAAACAGTATCAAGAGGATAATAAACATATTTATAAACATAACGTGATTCAAGGTTGAATGCAGGTGGGTTGATCCATTCAAGTAGCCTGTATATCAAAGAGAAAATAATGTTAAAATACAAAATTAAAAAAAATATAACAATATAAAACTTATTTTAATTACTTAAATGAAATCACAATTTAGAAGTAGGAATTAATTGTTATCTAATACAATTTTATTTAAACATTTATTATTATTTATCAATACTAAACAAACTATCAACTCCCTATAATATATACTCCTGATCAAGGCAAGAAACCTTTCCGCTTAAAAATATACACCTTAATGTTTAGATTTGTCTGGATTCATTAGGAGATTTTGTAATTTCTATGCATGTTTGGTATTCATTCATTAACTTCTGGTGGATTGTAATCCGGTTTTCATTCTTGAATAGTAGTTTTTTTTATTAATACCAGATTGGGTCATAACACAAATGTGATACTTTCTTTTATCATCAAAAATATATTGAATGGTTGTAATAATAAAATTTTATCAATTTATTTCAATTAAAATATGAATTTTCCTCCCAGGTCACCAATCAAAGATCGCCGGTTCAAGCCCAACGGGAGGCAAAAAACTGGGCTAGAATTATGATTGAAGATCACCCGGTCAATGCAAGCAAAGTGGCGTTCTTGCTAAATATAGAAATATAGAACTTAATAAGAAATAGGATTTCCTGTTTAAAAGTAGTACCTCCCTTCTGTTAAATAGGTAATTGTGTATAATACAACTGATAAACAGTGCATAAAAAATGATTAAATATAGTAACAAAGCCTACGGGGTCCTTATAGAAGGTCTCGTAAAATAGTAATTATAAATATACAGGGTCCTTATAGAAGGTCCTGTCAATCACATGTAATAATTAAAATTTGATCTAATAAAATTGACTGCCATTACATGGCAAATAGATGATCCGTCTGTCTGAAAAAAAAAAAAAAAAAAAAAATATGAATTTTCATTGTTATTACATTTAATAGTCTTGTTGGAGTGCTAATATAAGGCTAAAAGCATGTTTATTATTTTTTTTGGCATGCTTTAAAACTTGTAGCAAGAAATTTAATCTCTTTGTTTTTACTAGAAGTAAGTTTTGAAAAAATATCAAATGCTTCTTTATATTTTTTCTTATTGTAAAGTTCTAATGCGGTTTTAAAAGTATTAATATCTTCATTTTGAAAAAGTTTGTTGTAATTTTGATAGCAGTTTGCCATTTTAATTAATATTTTCAATTTCTTCTCATCATCCTCATAATCTCCAATTAGTTCTCGATAAACATTCCAAGCATTGTTAAACTTATTTTTTTTGTATAAATGATTTGCTATGCCTAAAGCTTGAGATTTATCTTTCTTTACACCATGCCCATATTTATAACAAAGTGCTAAATAAAATGTTGACTGGCCATAAATTTCAATTCCTTTTTTACTGGTTGAACTCATATAACCTTTGTCAGCTAGACTGTTAAAAGTATGATATGCTTGTGTATATTTACCATTTTCATATTCTTTAATCGCAGTTTCAAGTCTTTCCTCATCCCACTCTTTTTCCATTGTTTAACCTGAAAATTAAAATTGAAACGTTAAGTATTTATATTTTTTAAAAAATAAGTTCAAGAATAATACCCATTTGTAACAAGAAATTTCTTATTTTATTTATAAATAATCAAAAAGTATTTCTCTTTTTAAATGGTTTTCAATTAAAAAAAAAAACTATTCTTTAGATTTATTTTACAATAATTTATCGAATAATATTGTTTTATGCCAAAATATATATTGTAGACAATTAGTTAAAGTATTTTTATATTTAATTAGTAAAATTTATACTAAAAATTTACAATAGAAAAATAAAAAAAGTGAATAGAATTAGAAGCCAATAGAACAAACATACTATTATTTAATATTCCGAAGACAAAAAATATATATATATAGTATTAGAAAAAAAATATGTATTATATTTATTCAATCTAAATCTCAGTCTGATTCAAGCTGAATACTTTATCTTTGAATTTAAATGATTTCTTCTTGTTAATTATAAATATTATAAATTAAAAACTATTAATAAAACGGCGGCATTTTATAGTATATATTAAATTTCTATTAAAGATAGCTTTTCCAATATACTTTATAATGAAAAACACTTATAAATCAAAGGTTTTTCTAGAAAAATATCAGTATCAGTCATAGACTGCATTATATCGAAAATCAATTCAAATCAATTCAAATTCAATTAAATTTTTATTGCATTTAATTGAAGCAATCTTTTAATTATTTTGAATTATAATTATTTAATCCAAATTTGAAATTTAAATTTGAAATTTAGTTGATTACCTATTACTGAATTATGGCATTACGGCATTTTTACCATGTGGTAGAATTAATTATGGCATAGTATCTAATTGCCGTAATTAACTTTTTTTTTGAAAATTCATATTAGATTGGGGTTTTCAATATACTAACAAATCTATATGTAATATATTATAATAAAAACTAGTAGTACAGATTTTATGCATAAATCGGCAAAATCGACTAATGTTCAAAAAATTGCTTCATCTCATATGCAAACTATTTTATTCAAGCAATTTATACATCAAATGATTAGTTTAATATAATTAAACAAAGCTATAGTTTAAAATTTTTAATTAAATTTTAAAAAAACTTTTTGTGTATTGTTCAAAAAAATAACATAAAAATTTTAAACTATAGCTTTGTTTAATTATATCAAACTAATCGTTTGATGTATAAATTGCTTGAAAAAAAATAGTTGATTCATGAGATGAAGCAATTTTTTGAACACTAGTCTTCGCTAGTAAATTTAACGATTTTGCCTATTTAATGCATAAAATCTGTACTACTGGTTTTTATTATAATACCTTACATAGATTTAATTAATTAGTATATCGAAAACCCCAATATTAGATGCAACAGCTTTACATATAACAGATAACAGCCGTTATGCCGTAATGCAGTGTTGTACATTTTGACTGTCCCGGACCTTTTTGACCTTGTTCTGTCTCGGGACGTCCTGGGATGTCCCAACTTTGTCCTATCAATTTCTCAATTTTTAATCTGAAAAGTTATATTAGAGTAATAATGAGATATGTGTAAAATTAAATTTTCAACAACTTTACTTGATGATATACTGCAAATATCCAAATTCTCCTTAGAACATAAAACAACCAATTTTTATAGAAAATTATCACAAGGATCCAATTAGAATGCACAAGATATTAGATGATATATTGCAAACAACTAAATCTTGGCCATTTAGCAAACTAGTTTTAGCGTTGTTATGTAGTGAAAATTATATTGTTCCTTATTATAGTGTGGAATTACTAGCTTATGTAAAAAAATCATGGATATTATACTATTTTTAATATAAAATCTAGACTTAAGTGACCATACCTGAAATATTTCTAAAGCTTTTTCTAATTGCTTGATCGTAAACTTTTTATTCCACTTTTTATTACCTGAAAAAATTTAAAGTTGTTTACATATCTTCTTATTTCAGCTTGAATAATCAATATATACCTGATATTAATTCTTTCAGTTTATTACTATAAAGCTGGTGTATTAAAAGTTTATCTTTGTACTCTAATTTCAACCCTTGTTTGGCAAGTTTAATCTTGCAAAAGTTTAAAAACTTAATTAAAGAAATTTCATTGAGCTTCTTCACTTCTTGATTAAAAAAATCCTTGATAAAGTCCTGAACTACTTCTTTATTTAGCATTTTATATGCTATAATAGGAAAAAGTTGGAACTGGAAATGTATAAATTTTTTTTTTATGAAATCAAAACAAAATGCAGATCAGACAAATCAGTGATCGTTATGTGATCTTTATATGGTTAATGAATTCTGATTTTGACCTAAATTAATTTAATCTGGGCCGAAAACAACTGACAGGTCACCCATCTATTATTAGATGTCTTGGTGGCGATAATAAGACTATTCGAAGAGAGTAATACCTACTGGTTTAACTTAAATTATAAGTTTTACAGGAATTTAGCTTGTGACATACAGAGTTCGTCCGCTAGTAATGACAATAAAACATTGGGCTCAGAAACGAGATTTAAAGGATGCTGATATTAACTTTTATTATACAACATTTCCTTATGACGAAATCAGATTCATTTGTGTATATCCTTACGTCACAATAGCTATCTTCATACATCATCATATTTACCGTTAATTACTATTATAATTACAAAGCTTAAAAATATATAAATGTGGTATCATCAATAATTTTCGCTTGAAAATATTTGGGTACATAAGTATAATATTTTTTTTGTTAAAAAAAACAATTAAGTACCTGCTTTTTTTTTTTTTTTGAATTTGTTACATTCCCAATTTTACTGGTAGAATATTTATTACAAACCCACAAATTGTACAAAAACGAAAAGATAAAATCAAGAACCAATTTAATAAAAATTTTTTAAATAATTTTAATGAACTTGTAGAATTAATTTATTAATAAAAAATAGTTACAAATAAAAAATTTACAAATCAAATCTACAACCCGGACATCGTAACGCATCACAAACTTTGTACCATTGCATCAAACAATCGGAATGAGAATGAAAAACACATTTTAAACATTTAAAAGTAGTTCCTACTTCTAAACATATATTATATTTTGATTCGTGTTTTTCTAACAAATCAAAGAACCAATACAATATTATTTCAATTTTTTCATTTATAGCCTTTATACGACTGTCTATAATCTTCATTTGATTATTTATTATATTTCGATTAATTGTTAAATAATCGTTTCTAGCTTCGTACAATGATATAAATTCTGAAGAATCAGAATATGGTATTCGAAGCATATCGTCTATGTTTTTTATTTTTTATTTTTTATCTTCTTTTTCAGATATTAAATTTGTTAATTCTTTTTTGTATTGTTCTAATTGCTGTCGTTGTCGTAGTTGTTGCTGTTGCTGGTGATATTGTTGGTGGTGCTGCTGCTGCTGTCGTAGTCGTTGCTCTCGTTGTCGTTGTTGTTCTCGCCATCCCGGAAGCGGGGAAGGAAGGTTGAAAAATTCGAAAAGATTTAAAGTTCTCGCATTCACCCACTCCGGGTGCTGCCCTTCCATGTAGAAATCAACGAGCATCATACATTCTTTATAGGTAACCTCAAAAAAGATCAACATTAGTGATTACGAATATCAATTAACATAAATGCTACCATATACCATATTTATCGAGTCCAATTAAATCTTTGTACGGCATTTTTTTAACCAAAAATGCCAGCAACAAACGCGGATATTGAAAAAGAAAATATAAATGGATGTAAAATTTACATCCTTCAACTGTAAAACCTGCAAAAAAATTTTCATAAAACATTTTTATCTAAAGATTTTAATTTTAACAGACAACGATCAATCACCTCGCGTTTAAATATCTGACGAGCTTTAAGCTCGCTACTTTCAATCAAAATGAGGTAAAAAAAAAAAAAAAAGAATTTAATAATGAGTTAAATTATAGTTTAATTTGGGCAGAGTTTTAGTTTAATTTTTGCAGAATTAAATTTGGGCAGAAATCAAATATAAACATGGCAAAATTAGAGTATAAAAACGTTTAAAAGAATCCCATCATTGAGTAATTTATATTGATTTAGTATATGTATCTATCAAGTTACGTCAGTTGATACGTATCACTATTATTAAATTTTTAATTAAATAGACTCAGCATCAATTTATTAGTTTGATGAGATCATAGTAAAATTGAATAAATAAAAATATGCATAAGCGCACCAGAATACTTTGTGCTAGTGTCAAAAAACCTGCACTTTTATCTTTAAAAAACAATGTTTGAAACTATAGAGGACAATGAAGAGATTATTAAAGCCTCAATTAAACTAATTTGGATAGTGACTAATGGAAAAGTTGTTAATATCACTTTCGATGATCCAATACTGACAGCAAAAGTTGTCTTAGATAATAACACTAGTAAAATTATAATTTTGGATGAACCAGAAGCAGTTCTGTTAAACAAAAATAATTATAGAAAGATAAGAAATGAATTAGCAGGAAAAAGTTCTATTGCAATTGATGAGGAGGTACCTTAAATAATCGATATTTTTTAATACTCTCAAAATAAAAATTTGAAAATCTGAGCCCAAGAGAAATCACTAATTAAGTTTTTATTAATAATCATGTTATTTATTTACTTATTTTATTATTTTTTAAACAAAGGAAATCGATGATGGTATCCAAGCAAATGCAAATATAATTGAATCCGATGATGCAAAAACAGCTCAACAGATAGAAAAACAACAAATAAATAAATGTTTTAAGGTTTCGAAAAAAAATAAAGTGAGAAATTTTCTTGTTTATATTCAATTATTGCTTTTTAAATTTGGGTCTTGATATCTAAGCATTTTTTCTGCTACAAAATTTATATTTGCGAAGAATATTCTTAAATATCCATTAAACTATGAAGAAAGCGATGTAATTATTAATAATTTGTATAGCAACTTAATATAGTAGATATCTTATTTTTAGTAACAAAAATAAATTTTTAGGACCAATCGTATAATGCAATCGAAAAGGATCAAGGAAATGAAAATCAAGTTTTGGACCCTAATTTTCAGGTAAATTGATAACTGGGCATTCAAATCAAAAAAGGATTATTAGGTAATATTAATATAAAAAATTTTAAGGAGCAATTGAACACATCAGAAATAACGATTGAAGAAAGTGTAGCTCAAAGCTCTAGCTTTGATATAGATGAAGACAATGCAATTAAAGGATCAAACCTTTCAGACGATACAGGCGCATTTGTTTCTGTAAAAAAACCTTTAAACTATGCATTAAGAATTTATTAGCAACTTTAATATATATGTCACTTTTAGTATTAAAATAAAAAAATTTTAGGACCCATCTAATGCAAACGAAAAAAGTCAAGAGAACGAAGCACAAGTTTTGAAATCTAAAGTTTAGGTAAATGACAATTGGATAACCATATTGTCAAGTCAAAAAAAAGAATATTAGTATTGGTTAAAACTGCACTTAGAGAATTACTAATTGAAAAATTAAGGAATATTGAAAACTATATACTGAAACTATATACAATGAAAATATTAAATAATTAAAGGAATCATTACAATATGATAACTCACTATCTGATGAGTATTCAGATTCGGCCGAAGAAGCTGAAGAACAAAGATTTGACACATTAACTTCAATTTTGACGAAAAGTGACTCTATCAATGCTTCAAATAAAATTAAGAAAAATAAAACAAAAACTAATAAGGTGAATAAATATACATTAACATCATATAGTTTACAGTTAATTGTAGTTAATTGTAATATTTCTAACCTATTCCAAATTAAAGGTTAATTATGATCATGTTGACGATTCCATAGAGCGCATTTCTTCAGGTTTGACAGATAATTCTTTACCAAGCATTAGCGAAATATTGGTAAATGTTATAATTAAGTTAATTTTATTAATGATTGTTACATACTAACGAAACAATTTTTTGAAGACACCTCTAATTCGAAATGATAGTTCTAGTAGAAACACAACCCTTTCTCACTCTAATAATGTCGAAAAGGATAGTGATAGGAATGTTAGTAGCAATTATTACCAGCTTAACTTTTTTTCTTTTAATACAGATATTCACTTATTTTTTTTTTTTATATCTTAATTAAGGATGTGCAAGCAATTTCGTCAATTATCAACAGTCAAAAAAATCTACCATCAAATAATAATCAGGTAGTAAATTGGCATTATCAATGGTAAATTTGGCGAATAAGAAGTTTAAATATTTTTTATTATTTAAAGTGTAAGCCTGAAACGGAAATTGAAAAAGCATCTTCGTACTTAGTACCAATTGTTTTAGTAGATAATACCTCAGTATGAAAGTATGAATTATAATAAGCAAATTTAATGAATTATTCTTTGCTTATGCTATTTACCTTTTGATACGCTATACGCTATATAAAGTATAAAATTCCGCATAACGTCATAGGTAATAAATTGGAGAGAAACCACGTGTATAATCCGATTTCATTTTATTATTACATTTATTATAGATTGTGAAAGTTCAACTGGGAAAGTCACTGTTGGGAGTAAAGATTTAAAAAGAAAACGACACCATTCTTCTTCAGAATCCGGTATGATTTGTATTATTACATTATTATATTATGACATAAATAATGATTAATTCAGATTATGTTTCAGAAAGTTCAACTAAACGCGTACAACATATTCCTTCAGAATCTGATTCTAACAGTATATATTTTATGACTGTATTTGCAGTATTTAACTAAAAATTGATTAATCTAAATTATATGTTAGAAAATTCTACTGAAGTCACTGTTAGTAAAACTGAAAACAATAAGGCCAAGATTCTTAAAGAAAAATTCGATAATATTATGAAACATCAATTAATAATATATAAAGACCAACTCTTCTCAACAAACACTTCGATAGAAAATTTTTTTACCACAAATTTCGATGATCTTTTTGATTTTGATGATAATAGCATTCATTTATCAATCAAAACTATCACTACTTATTTGTCGAAGAATGAATCACTGAATCTTTATTTTCAAGGGTGGAAGACACAATATGATAAACTTAATTCAACAAGGTGTAAAGTTGAATTGAATTTGTTGAAATTGCTATACAAACTCCGAGAACCTTATTTATCACTAATGGTAGATGAATACAAAAATTCGATAAAAATATCTCCTAGTCATAAAACTTTACGCAAGCATGTGTGCGATAAAATGAAATCGATGTTAAACATAGAAGTAAGGCAAGAATTAAGGTACTGGATTGGCACCTGGAGACTGGTTGAATTGTTTCATATAACTCGTTGCCCAGCAAATATCCTTGTTGAATCTGGTCTCACTTCAAGATATTTAATGAGAACTAAAAATACTAAATATGATCGATTTCTCAAAGATCTCTTAAATGATGACAATGCTTATCATAAGACTCCCGAATTCAATGAGATTTTATTGCAAAAGGTTAAAATGTTAGATTTATAAACATGTGACTCTACAGACCTATGGATCGGTGAAGTCGTATAATATAACGAATATTTGTATTAATAATATAAAATAATTGGTTTAGAGAAATATTGAATAACATTAATGTGGTTATCAACTGCTTGTTGCTCATTTTCTGAAAATTTGGTAAAATAAAATAATTAACAATAAGAATGCTGCAGCAATGTAATTACTGATATATATATATATATATATATATATATTTATTTATTATTTTCGTAATAATATGAAAAAAAAGTACAAAAAAGAAACTACTAAAAAAAAAAATTCTGAGATCAGCTTAATTAGTGCATTTAATATTAAAGAATTTGGTGAAAAAAAATTTAAAGATCGATCATAATGTACTGAAAATCATCAATATTATTCAGCGATATGATATTGTTCTTTGCCAAGAGATTCATTTGTCTGAAGAAATGATCAAGCAACTTGTTGACAAATTATCAAAATCCTCCCCTGTTCCATATTTTTTTGTCGAGTCAACCTATTTGTAAAAGTTGATATAAAGAAAGATATCTTATATAGATCAAATGAATGGAAGGTATTAGAAAGCACTGTATTTTTATATTTTAACTATAAAAACTTTCGAAGAATTCCGATTTAGATTTTATCTTATCTGTCATTAATAAAGCATAAACTTTAAAATTAGTATTTTTGATCGAATAGTGACTGTAATATAAATTAATATTCAATTTTTTGTGAATAAATCTTACAAAAAATTACGTAACAAAATAGGAATTCTACAAATCATAAAGCTAAAAATTTAGACAAAATTAATTATTCCAGGCAAATTAAATTATAAATTCAGGCAAAATTAATTATTCTGATAAAATTCCAGGCAAAATTAATTATTCTAATAAAATTTCAGGCAAAATTAAGTTAGGCAAATTAGAATATAATTTCAGGCAAAAAATTAAATATAGTTCCAGGCAAAATTAAAAAAAATAATCAAGTAAAATTAAGTATAATTCCTTTCAGACAAAATTAGGATAGGCAAAATTAAAATATAATTTCAAGCTAGGGTAATAACTTACCTGACAATGTGACTCAGTTACATGACCTTATATAAGTTACAAAATTTATCATAATAAGCAGGTCGGCTTTTGGTATTAATGCCGGCCAGAATAAATTTAGCCTGCATTAAGGTTATTAAAGGGTGAATAACTTACCTTACACATCTGTACATAGTAACTTACATAATTTAAAATGTAACTTACATTTTAAAAATAACTTACAGTAAGTTATATAACCCTCTTCAAGCAGAATTTCGAGTAAAATAGATATAATTCCAGGCAGATTAAAATATTTATTTAGGCAAAATTAAAATATAAATTTAGCAAAATTATGTAATTTTAAGCAAGAAACCAAGTTAAATTATAATATTTACATTAAAAGTGTATTAGTAAATGGGGTACCAAGATCTTGTTTCTAAATAAAATTTTTTTCAGACTTTAAATTAAAATATCTCAACAACAACTATTGAACTAAATAAAAAAAAATTTATTTTAATTCTATATAGTTATAGAATTAAAATAAAAAAAATCATCAAGTTTGGTTTAATAGTTGTCAAGATATTTTAATTTAATTTTAAAAAAAAAACTTACTAAAAACAAGGTGCTTGGTTTCTACTGGAAGTAATTTTATGTTTCTATGAAACTTCAGCCAACATTAAATTACATGTAATTTAATTTTACCTTATTTCAAGAAAATTAATTATGGGCAAAATTTGATATAATTCTAGGCAGAATTAAAATATAATCGAACAGATCAGTGATCGTCATATGATCTTTATATGATTAACAAAATCTTGTTTTCAATTTACTCTCAAAGGGGAGCAATTAATGAATTCTGATTTCGACCCAAATTAAACTTAATTTGGGACGAAAACAACTGACAAGTCACCCATATATTATTAGATGTCTTGGTGGCGATAATGATGCTTATTATTAACCAAGAAGATTTAAAAATGGTGGTAAGTAGCGATAAATTAACAATAAATGTAAATAGCCAAAAAACCACTTAAAATCCCAATGCTGATTCTGATTCTAAATGATTGATATTGTGAAATATTTATCTTTTTGATACTACTGGTATAACTTAAATTATAAGTTTTGCAGGAATTTAGCTTGTGACATACAGAGTTTGTCCGCTAGTAATAACAATAAAACATTGGGCTCAGAAACGAGATTTAAAGGATGCTAGTAACTGTTAATTTTAACATTTATTATATAAATCATCGCAAAGTTAATATAAACTTATAACAAAGCTTAAAAATATATAAACGTGGTATTTCACCTATTAGACTCTAACTAGAGTTGTTAGGCGAAACCATTTTTGCGTGATGACGAAAGACGAAACCTAAAGCTGGCAGAAGACGAAAGACGAAACCCCTGGTGTAATGACGAAACCTCCGTGAAAGACGAAACCTCCTGCGAAAGGTGAAACCTCCTGTGAAAGGCGAAACCCCCTGCGAAAGGCGAAACCTAAAAACAATAATGTGCATAAAAAGAATAGCCAAATTAAGGCAAAAGCAAGTGCTTAAATGTTGCACACAAAACTTTGTGTATTCATTAGATAGTGCTTATGTGAGTGTTGTTAAATAAAACCAGGTTTTGGGCTTTTGATTTGTTATTTACTTCTAAAAATAAAGCTTTGTAAGCGTAGTTTCTCAGTGATGTGCCACTAATGTTAAATTATAAAATTGTGAACAAAATATCCATTCGAAGTAAATAACTAATACTAAAAAAATCATTAAACATGGCTGAGCCAATAAATAATAAGGTTTACAGCCCGAAGTTTGATTGTTTTTGGCAATCCCCATATAAAAGATATAAGAGCATGAGTGTTGTAAACATTAGACTTTCAAATTTATTAACTTAGCATCTAGAAATTTTTAGCAATATATGAATGAAAACCTGTAAATCGATTTATGATTATTCACTATATCAGACTTGACCCTAGAAAAGCTGATCCAAAACTAATTATCATTATGTGATCGAATACGTATCAACTAAGAATTTCTAGTTACTTCGATATAACAGAGTAATATGTATTATCAAAGTAACTAGAATTATTAGCTGATACATATTTGATCACAAATGATAATTATTTTTAGATCAGATTTTCCAATGATCGTGAATTGATTCACCAACTATCACTACCACCAAAAAATTCAGTGTATATAAATATAACTAGCGCCAAAAAATTAAATAGCAAATATTATGTTTTTAAATTTATTATTTATTATTTGTTTATACTTAGCCTTATTTATTTTAACTCGATTCTAAAAAATCCAAAGCGTTAATATTTAAATAAATAATCTTATGCTATACCAACTTCTTTTATCTGTTTTTTTATATTACCAACTAGCCTTTGCAATCTGAATTTATATTTACTATTATAACACATTTGCATTAATTTATTCTATAAAAACTATTTCTTAATCAGTTAAATTAAAATTAGCAAGACAAATTTACAAATAAGATCATTCATATACAATTTATTTTATTTGCTAGTAAGTGTAAAAATTATTTATTAATCTGTAAAATTAAAATTAGTATAAAATATTTATAAATCAAGATTATTTACAAAGTTGACAAAGTATTGAATTGATTTTTTGAATATATGATATTCTGATATCAATAGTCTTTGAACAAAAAAATTAATTTATATTTGAATTTTAGTATAAGATTGAGTTAGAAGAGGCTAAAAAATACCACCTCTAAATATATAAAAGTACTTTAGAAGAGATATTATTATTAGGTAAATATCTTTTTTGGCATTAATTAAAGTTGTTTATTAGATTTTTCTGGTTCTAATAGTGGTAAAATTATTAAAATTAGACTGGTAGTTCTTTTTTAAAAGTGAATTGAAGATTATAAAATTTAGATATAAATATTTTAAGAATTACTAGTTTGATTTTAATAAAAGATCTAATAAACAACTTTAATTAATACTAACAAAGAGATTTATTTAATAATTATATCTTTTTTAGAGCATTTTTTTGTATTTAGAGGGTAGCAATAGTAATTTTTTATAAATATATTTACTATTTAAAATTATTAAAATTTATTTACTATATTGAGTTAATTTTTTTAGAAAATGAGCTCTTGTGATGAAAATAGTAGTACTTCTATTTCTACTAATAAGGACAAACAAATATTTAAAAATATTGGTGGTCGTCCAGAAGGACCAGTTTGGAGTTATTTTACTAAAGGCAAAAAAGTTGGAAAAGGAAAATATGAAGCAACTTGTGATTTATGTGGAGCAATTTGGAATCATGGTGAACTAATTGAATTAGAAAATCATTTAGCTAATCATTGTCCAAAAGCTGATTCAACAATAATTCGTCAATTTCTTACAAGAATTTTTTCTAATAATTCTAAAAAAAAGTGATATTAATAAGAAAAGAAAACTTAATATTTAAGGTCCTCTTAATCAATATATTAGTTCAACTAAATTAGATGAACAAACATTAAGAAAAATTCATCTTGCTTAAACTAAAGCTTTTGCAATGTGTGGAATTTCTTGGCGTATTATTGAAAATCTTTTTTTTATTGAAGCATTAAAAAAAACAAATTTATCTTATGAACCACCTTCACGACAATATTTATCAGGTCAATTATTAGAACAACAATTAGCAATTATTAATCAAAAAACCGATAAAATTTTTTATCAATATTCAAATTTAACATTAGGTAATATAATTAATTTTATAATTTATATAAAAATTAATAACTAATAAATTATTTTTATTTAGTATTAGATGGATGGAGTAGTAAAAAAAATTATTCTTTTTGGAATTTTATAATTATTATACCTGATAAAAAAGAATACTTATATAAGCTTTGTGATTTTTCTAATAAAAAGCATACAGGTGAATTTTTAGCTGATAAAATTGAAGAAGTTTTAGATTCTATTGGAGCAGATCATTTTGCAGCAATAGTTAGTGATAATGGTGCTAATATTAAATTTGCTCGAGATAAAATATCTGCTTTATATCCACATATTTTTAGTATAAGATGTATTGCTTATGCAATAAATTTAGTTGCACAAGATATTTTAAAAAATGAGTGGGCAGATAAATTAATTAAAAAATGTAATATTTTTTAAATCTTCACATCAAGCAGGTATAAAATTTTTTATTTAAATTTAATTTAAATTTTAATTTACTAAATTTATTTAATTTTAAAGGAGCAGAATTACGATTATTAATAGAACAATTTAAAGTTTCTGGTGGTGGACTTAAAAATTATTCTAAAACAAGATGGACAACTGCTAGTGATACAGTTAAAAGTGTTTTATGTTTAGAAAAAATTTTAAAAAAGATAATATTTAAAATTTATAAATTATAATTTAATTTTTACAAATTTTATTTATAAAAAAATTTATTAAATTTTAATAAATTTATTTTATAAATAATTAAATTATTTTTATAGATTGTAGAAGATAAAATATTAACAACAGAACAAATTAATAATATTATTAACAAATATACATTTTTTATTCATTTAAAAGTTTTAAATTTCATTGTTTTGAGATACTCTCTTTCCGCTGATCCTCTGTTCCAAATTTAGAACTAAGAAAAAACAGTAAAATTTGCAAAAACGAGTTAACAA